TCCATTGCTGAGACACTGATGCAATGCTACATTTCTACAAACCTGATGAAGGAACAAACTCATCCTGATCTCAGATGAGCACATTTTCAGCATTTTTGGGTGAACTACTCCTTGAAGTTGCACATATGTAAAAATGAAGATAAAAGAAATAATGTAAAGAACTGCATGAAAAACAAAACCCATCATCATCATGCACATGCAGAAGACAAAAGAGAATCGGAGGAAGCACAGGATAGTCACCAGAGGTTTACTAAAAACACATGTTCGATCTCCTGAAGGATCTCAAGCTCTCTAAAGACGTTCCGGACCTCGTCCCGCTCAATGCACTGCTGCTTGTTCATGTACTTCATGGCGTACATCTTCTCCGTGTCCCGCTTCTGCACGATGCACACCTGAAACACACACAGATGAACACGCAATGAGAAATACGGCACAGGCCAGGCTAACGAGAACATATGCATCATCACAGACCCACGTCCTATTAATAACACGCTCGCTTCGACCGGCACAAAATGTCACGGGTCAGAGGTGCTTCACGGGCACAGAATCTGCATTAAAAGCTTATTAAATGATAATCAAGATTGTGTGTGATGTGAGACAGAGATAAAGGTCAAAACACAGTCAGGACTCGGGCAGCGGACGGGTCACATGGACTTGCTAATATCTTATACCACTGCAAATGCATATGTCAATATATAGATATTTTTTCTAGAAATTAATAGACATAAATAATAAAAAAATAGCATATATAATATTAAATAATTAATACATAATAGGTTAATTAATAAATAAAAAAATTATCTGATCATTATGAGCATGTATGAGCAGATATCAAATGAATGAACAAAATTACAAAATAAAAGCTTTACGAAAACATGTCAAAACACTGAATGAGATGTCACAATAGCTACAGGACAGTTTATTAAGCGTGGTATTTTACAGCGACTCTTCATGGAGGTTTCACCAGTAGGTGGTGCCAAGTGACTGTTTTAATAAGTGACTCATTTGAATAATTAATTCAGGCGATTCGTTTGAAAGAACCGATTTGTCCAGGAACAAAACAAGTGATTCATTAAATCGTTAATTCAAACGATTCGTTCAAGAACTCTGTTTCATTCGGGAACAAAACAGCGAGTCAATGATTTGTTCATCCAACAAATTCGTTCAAAAACACAGTTTTATTTAGGAACAAAACAAGTGAGTGGTTCAAAAAAACAGATTCGTTTAGAAGCAAGAGTGAGCGATCGAGTCATTCATTTAACCGATTCATTCAAAAGTACAGATTTGTTAAGGGACAAAACAAGTGACTCATCGAATCATCAGTTCAACCGATTCGCTCAAAAACACGGTTTTATTCGGGAACAAAACAAGGGAGTCAATGATTCGTTCAATCAACAAATTAATTAAAAAACAAAGATTTATTTGTTAACAAAACAAGTGAGTTATCAAATCATTCATTCAACCAACTGGTTCAAGAGAACGGATTCATTTAGGAGCAAAACAAGTGAGCCATCGAATCATTAATTTAACAGATTCATTCAAAAGTACAGATTTGTTCAGGGACAAAACAAGTGAGTCATAGAATCATTAGTTCAACCGATTTGTTCAAAACACGGATTCATTCTGGAACAAAACCATTGAATCAACGAATCATTCGTTCAACCCTGTTCACGGACAAAACAAGTTGTTGAATCATTCATTCAACCGATTCATTCAAAAACAAAATCATTCACGGACTGAAACGTGATTCTAGAGTTTTCCGTCACCGTCTCGGTTAACAATAGACCCGAAATAGCCCGGCTATGAGTAACCCACTTCTAGCCAAAAATAACCTTGAATTTGGTTTCATGTAGTTTTTGCCAAAATAACTTGCGAGATGTATGATATTCCAGTAAGCAAAGCCGAAAATTCTCCAGTACCTTTCCCAAAACCCATCATTTACAGGCAGTATCGACCTTATCATCAATATAGACGGTCTGCCAATATTCAAGTCCAGTACAACCCATTTTTGGCCTATTCTTGCCAAATTTGATGATGCTGAGCCATTTCTGGCAATAGCAAGCCTGACCCTGTTCATGACTATCTTTGTGATTTAATAGCAGAATTGCAGGTGCTTATAAAAAATGATGTCCCACACAAAACCACAAAGTAACACTGCGAGCATTCGTTTGTGATGCTCCAGCAAGAGCATCTAGAAAACGCTCTGATTCTGTCAGACGGCTGCTGTGAGAGTCCAGAGGCAACAATCAAGTCATTTAGCCGTCTAAATGAAACAAGCAAGCAAAATAATCTAGTTGAAATGGCCTTCTAAGCGTCCAGTATAAATGTTGTTTTCCTGATCTTTAGAAAAGCCTTTGAGCCCAGAAGAGAACGGCAGCGTTTCACCCCACAGATCCAGACGGAAAACACTCTAAAACCTTCCCTAACCGCATCCGCTTTGATTCAGCAGACACCTCCAATACAAACCTGCCGGCGGGCAACGATAACTCAGACAAACAGCCCAAATATCACCCTCCCAGATGAGACTGATAACAGCGTCCCCGACTGAGATCTAATCATCCGTTCCACAAAAACATAAGCACATTAACCAGCAGAAACCAGAAAAACAAGACCTTATTTCTGTCTTTACAACATTCTGTGAAAATGTGTTCATCCTTAGGTCATCTGAGATCAGGATGAGTTTGTTTCTTCATCAGGAAAGCTCATTAAATGATAATCAAGATTGTGTGTGATGTGAGACAGAGATAAAGGTCAAAACACAGTCAGGACTCGGGCAGCGGACGGGTCACATGGACTTGCTAATATCTTATACCACTGCAAATGCATATGTCAATATATAGATATTTTTTCTAGAAATTAATAGACATAAATAATAAAAAAATAGCATATATAATATTAAATAATTAATACATAATAGGTTAATTAATAAATAAAAAATTCTCTGATCATTATGAGCATGTATGAGCAGATATCAAATGAATGAACAAAATTACAAAATAAAAGCTTTACGAAAACATGTCAAAACACTGAATGAGATGTCACAATAGCTACAGGACAGTTTATTAAGCGTGGTATTTTACAGCGACTCTTCATGGAGGTTTCACCAGTAGGTGGTGCCAAGTGACTGTTTTAATAAGTGACTCATTTGAATAATTAATTCAGGCGATTCGTTTGAAAGAACCGATTTGTCCAGGAACAAAACAAGTGATTCATTAAATCGTTAATTCAAACGATTCGTTCAAGAACTCTGTTTCATTCGGGAACAAAACAGCGAGTCAATGATTTGTTCATCCAACAAATTCGTTCAAAAACACAGTTTTATTTAGGAACAAAACAAGTGAGTGGTTCAAAAAAACAGATTCGTTTAGAAGCAAGAGTGAGCGATCGAGTCATTCATTTAACCGATTCATTCAAAAGTACAGATTTGTTAAGGGACAAAACAAGTGACTCATCGAATCATCAGTTCAACCGATTCGCTCAAAAACACGGTTTTATTCGGGAACAAAACAAGGGAGTCAATGATTCGTTCAATCAACAAATTAATTAAAAAACAAAGATTTATTTGTTAACAAAACAAGTGAGTTATCAAAGCAGCAGTGAACACACACACCGTGAACACACACCCGGAGCAGTGGGCAGCCATTTTTGTGGATTCTGTTATTGTGATGTTTTTATCAGCTGTTTGGACTCTCATTCTGACGGCACCCATTCACTGCAGAGCATCCATTGCTGAGACACTGATGCAGTGCTACATTTCTACAAACCTGATGAAGGAACAAACTCATCCTAATCTTGGATGAACTGAGGATGAGGATATTATAATTTTTGGCTGGAGTATTGCTTTAACTCTCATTGTAAATATATGAGATACGGTCTCTTTGTCACAACACGGAGTCCTTTAAGAGACTCTAACGACAATCTAATTAACTTCACATTTATCTTCTCCAAGCGAGAGCATTAAATTCCTGCCATGGTTAAATATCCATAATGAACTCCTGTGATTGTGCTTGAACACACATTAGACGGTGTGGTAAAGGTCAGCCGTGGGCTGTGCTGAAAGAGCGCTTCCAGCTGTTCTGAGCTGATATTTCAGTCACTGCTCTGGGAAACATCATAACAATGCTGGCTGTCGTTCCACCTGCTCGCTTCGGTCAAAGGCTGTCGAGCGAGCGGATCGAGGCCTAACCAAGCTCTGACTGAGTCACGCTGAAGCTGTGAGATAAAGCGGCACGCCA